TAGATATAAGAAAATGGCAATCCAACTTAAGTACACTTAAGTTCTTTGAGGAGGGGATGTTGCTATTTGATATAAATAATGGTGGACTGATAAGACAGAGTTAGTAGCAGCCACAGCTGGCTTAGTTTATAAATAAAGAAGAGTTTGGATAGCACATGGCAGGGAATAGGAATTGGGAAAATGTAAGAATCCACTCAAAGATTGAGTGCCACATATAAAGTATCTGGGTGGCAGGAAAGCACAGTAGGAAGCAGCTGGAGATTTGTTTTGCTTGCATGCCTGGCCTTTGAAACACAATTGGTGTTTCATTGGTGTTCATGGTGTATATTTTCATTCCAATTTTTAATTAATACTCATAGCAAATATACTAGATTCTTATCCAGACATCCAAATGATTATACTTGCATTGCAGTTGATAATATCTGGGATATAATAAGTAAAGGGACAAATAAAATCAATAGTGTTGTTGATTTCTATTATTACTTGCCTAACCAAGGAGAAAATGTGGATAGATGCAGATCTTACAAAGAAATGAAATTGTAACAGTGAAAGGCTTTACCCTGACATCTGTTTAGTAAAAATGATCTGCATAGATTATCCTTCCAGGAAATTCCTGACTCTCCTTGCTGATAACCTTTTCCTTCAAAAGGTAGAAGACACAAGAGAATCAGCTATACTTGAATGTATTTGATACAATGGGTATATTTGATACAATCAGTGGCTAAAACTTTGTCGAGGAAGTGGAAATAACAAGAACAATAAACTAAAGTGACTAAAATATAAGGAGTTCATCTTTTAAGGGAATCTAAAACTGACCATCAAACAACAAAAACGTGTCTCCCCCCCCCCCTTCAAATCTTAGAGCAATAAGAAGGATTCCACAGCTGGACAAGTTATTTGGAAAATGAGTTTAAAAGCTGTTGAAATCCTTAAAAAGGATTTCCAGAAGCACAATTACTATATCACTCTTTTAAAAGAAAATCACAAAGAAGTCAAGATAGCTGGAGAAAAAGCTTAGTGATGATCTGAGAAGAACTACAAATACATTACTACAATGGAAAGACAGACTTGCAAACAAAACTCATACAAAATCATGATATTGACCCAGAAGCAGCTATTTTGCCATTCAAGAATCCATGATCTAAGAAATTTGCCATTTAATAAGTGCTTATATGAATTCATTCCCGAAAGAATGCTGAGGAACCATTCAGTTAATAGCTGGGGGGTATGGGAGAGATTTACAATTTATAAGACTAAAGAATTGGTCAGCCTGATAGGATGACACCTCAAACAGGCTGACCTTGTTATGAAGCAGCATTGCTTGGAAGTACAGCTAGTTAAAACACTGGCCTACATATAACCTCACATAAAATAGTGCTTTCTGCTAACATGAGTATTGATATATTTGGATTTATAACAGATAGCAGAGAAAGATGAATGAATAATACAAAAGCTGTTATCTGATACATTGTGGATTATTTAGAGAAGACTAGCTGAGAATTGCCCTCATTTAGAGATGCTTCAATTATACCTTGTTTGCTTACTAAAAAGCGTTCTGCAGTTTATAACAATAACATTATATCAGTTAATAATTTCTTGGAAAGCTTGTGCCAGATCAATCAGGTAGAGTACATTCATTTGAATAATAAGAATTTTAGATAAAGCATTCTAACCGCTCTGATGTATCTGCCTGCTGTTATTGTGCAGAGTTAAGTCAAAATTTACTAAGATACATTTTGCCAAAGCAAAGTCTGATATTTTAATGTTTCTATTCTACTTTGGAAAAAAAAAAAGACTGTCTTGCAGATTTTTTTTCTAAACAGTCTTCCTTTTTCTTTTTTCCTTTTGTGGTGAATCATATTTTTCCCTCAGCAACAGGGAATTCAGGTTTCCAATGCTGTTACCATTTAGCAATTTAAAAAACAATGGTGGGAAGTAAATCTACATTAGTATTGAATCCACATAGAAAAAATGATGGGTGTGTTTTTCTTTTCCTTTACTTTGCCCATAAGTAAGGATCTATAATTATGAAAACTGGTTTAAAAGGCTTAGATCTAATTTTATACTAAAATTTCTTGTTTGTTCATTGGTTTGCAATTTTCATAACCTGCCCTAATATGTAAACTCTGGGATGCATAGAATAAAAAAATAAGAAAATGGGGGGGGGGGGAACTTGCATTAGAAAAGAAAAAACAACTTTTAAGATATATCTTAACAGACTTGTTTTCCCTGCTGATCAGACTACTGGAAATTCGAGAGGTCATATAATCCTCCAGATACAGAATTACATAACATAAGGGGCCTCTACAACAGCAGCAAAAAGGTGCAAAAAGGCGCAAAAAGGGACGTGGTGGCTCAATGGCTAAGACACTGTTTACTGTTTACTGTTTATTAAATTTATAGGTCGCCCAATCCCGGAGGACTCCGGGCGGCTTACAGAAATAAAAATTAAGAAAAAAAATTAAAAACAGATAAAACAAATAACAGTGTGGTCTTCATTTCGTTTCGTTTCATTTCATCTCCTTCTATTTCAATTTTTTCCTCTATTGGCATTTGTAAAAATTCTGTAATACAGGCAGAATGCGTTGTCATGGGTGAAAATTGAAATCTTGGTTTGTGTTTCAAATGCTCACAAATAACTTTGATTGGAAAATGAGTTGGAAGGGACTTTGAAGATCTTCTAGTCCAATCCCCTGCTTAGACAGGAAACCCTACACCACTTCAGACAAAAGAATATCCAACATCTTCTTTAAAATGTCCGGAGTTGGAGCATTTACAACTTCTGGAGGCAAGATGTTCCATTGATTAACTGTTCTAACTGTCAGGAAATTTCTCCTTAGTTCTAAGTTGCTTTTCTCCTTGTTTAGTTTCCACCCATTGTTTCTTGTCCTGCCCTCAAGTGCTTTGGAGAATAGTTTGACTTCCTCTTCTTTGTGGCAGTCCCTGATATATCAAAACACTGCTATTATGTCACCATTAGTCCTTCTTTTCGTTAAACTCCATCCGCCGGCCAGTGTCGACTGGCGACTACTCGGAGGAGAGCCTTCTCTGTGGCTGCTCCGACCCTCTGGAACGAACTCCCCGTGGAGATTCGCACCCTCACCACCCTCCAGGCCTTCCGCATAGCCCTTAAAACCTGGCTGTTCTGACAGGCCTGGGGCTAAAGAATCGTTGCCCTCTATCTCGAATGGTATGATTGTTGCGCTTTTAAATTATGTATTGCTTTGTGTTATTGTCAAATTGTTTGTATTCCCCTTCCCTTGTTTGAGTTGTGAGCCACCCTGAGTCCCCTTTCAGGAAAAGGGCGGCATACAAATGAAATAAACAAACAAACAAATAAACAAATAAACTAGACATACCCAGTTTCTGCAACCGTTCTTCATATGTTTTAGCTTCCAGTCCTCTAACCATATTGGTTGCTCTTCTCTGCACTCTTTCTAGAGTCTCAACATCTTTTTTACATTGTGGCAACCAAAACTGAATGCAGTATTCCAAGTATGGCCTTACCAAGGCATTATAAAGTAGTATTAACACTTGATGTGATCTTGATTCTATCCCTCTGTTTATGCAGCCTAGAACTGTGTTGGCTTTTTTAGCAGCTGCTGCACACTGCTGGCTCATATTTAAATGGTTGTCCACTAGGACTCCAATATCCCTCTCACAGTTACTACTATTGAACGAGGTGCAACATTTACTGTACCTGTGCATTTTGTTTTTCTTGCCTAAATGTAGAACCTTACTTAGATGATTCTTACATAGAATCATTGAATAGAATAATTCTTAACCCTGGTATCACAGATTTCATATGAATGCTTCTTTATTTGATTCCTGAGCATCCAGTTTCCAATATGAGCCATGCTTCTGTACCTTTCTCATATCTCCTCATCCTTTTTACCTATAATTGGTGTTAGTTCTTCATTACAAGTGTATTTTGCTATGTTTGAATTATGAGCAAATCCACATGAAGGGACTGAGAGACGGGGAAAAATGCATCCTGCTTTGACAACTTATAATGTGGTGGTATACTGAAAAACATAAGTCTTATGAGCTTTATGAGCACTTTCTAATGGTGCTTCTGCATCTATCTAAAGTGTTTTTCCCACATAGAATGCTTTTAATTTTTTCTATAAGGCTGTGGTTTAAGAACATGGTTATCTTCCTTTGATTTATAGGAAGCAATGGTAAATTTTCTATAAAGTCGGAATTCACCAATCATTGTTCTTCCAAACATGAGAAGAATATAAAACAATATTCAATTTTATTTTGCAGTATAAACTATGTACTTATTTGTTTTATAACTATAACTTCTAAAACTTAAATCTTATGGCATCTCCGATTCCCTGCGTAAGAAGGGTCTATTTCTAACAGTGTATCGGTAGAAATTTCAGTAGAAATTTCAGTAGAAATTTCAGTAGAAATTTGGAAACCTGATCACTGTAGAATTTTCTTCACTGTCCTATTTCTTTGATAATTTCATGACTAATTCTTTCCATTGGTGAGACATCTTGTGGTTTTTGATATGAGCTTAATACAATTTAGTTAGTATTTATTGTGCTTCACTTAAAAATCTTGTGTAATAAAAATTATTCTGAAGATATTCACAGCACAGGTGGCATGGAAATACTATCAGGAATTGACCCCAGCTTCAATTTTATACATCAGTGAGAAAATGTACATAAGAGTTATACTTCCCAGATGATTTCATGAAATATTTGAATGTGCCTTGAATTGTTTGCAAAAAAATAATAAAGGTAGGAGACAAAATAAATAAAATAGATTTCTAACCTTACCTACAGTCTTTCCATCCAAATAGGTCACAAGTAATATGAAGCAACTATAATTCTTGATTAATTTGTTTAATTTTTTTTTCTTATTATGGTCTTTTCTACAGTACATTTACAATAGAGCTCAAGCAGTAGCGTACTGGCCTGGAAAAAAGTAGTGTATGGATGCAATTAATTTGCATTTGTAATGGAGTATGAACTTTGCATATTTTGCAGAACCGTTAGAGGAACTAAAGATCAGAAGTCACAGTACCGAACCATTACCAAAGCTGGAAAACAAAGACAAAGGATGTCATCATGGGTCATCTTCCAGAGAGCCAATCAAAGCTCAGGAATGGGATGGAACACCAGGACCATCACTTGTGTCTAACCGACTTGGAAGGTCTTCTGTTAGTCCAACCATGTTGGCAGGAAATAATAGTTCAGGTAGGTATAGTTAGACCCATTTTGCATAGCAGTACAATAAACAAATAGTACTGTAGATTTCTGGTGAAGAGATTTGTGAAATTCACAAAAATCAAGATTGCTTCAACATGGATGGTACTTCAACTAAATGTAATCAGGGGAGAATTATCTTTCTTTGGCCAAAATGATATGCCAAACAAGAACATGGAAATACTTATCTAATTGCAAGCTACTTTAATTCTTCTCGGTTTAATGGGATACATTAATATTTTTAAAATGAAAACTCACCATATTTTGTTTATTGTTGGCATTTTCACAGGAAATGTTGGACTGAAAACATGTGAAAATTTGGCTGCTTTAGACTTGTGCCATTTTGCTCTGTCATATTTGTCCAGCTCAGAAAACTAATTACACAGGAAGATAGATTTATTGAGATAACTCTAACCCTATATTGCAAGTTTGATTGTGTTTTAATTCTGTTGGCTCTTATATGGCCAGTGTTGGCCAGTGCATTAGGGAGAAGCCATTTGAATCTCTTTTGAGTCTCTAATTATAGTATTTTCCTTTCCAGTGGTTAAGGAATGTTTCCACCCTTTTTGCATATAATGATTTCTGAATAGACCTTTCAAGGCCATCTCCATGATTTTCTTTCTTCCTTGTCCTCTTCTCTAGTGGCCAGAATGCTACATGTTAAAGACTGAGTGCATTCCAAAAGTTTTGCATTGTTATATCTTATTATTTAGCTTTAGGATTATGTCTCTTATATTATAATAAATATATAATAATTTCTTATTATCTTTTACCATTGGCCATATTAACTGAATTAAACTAGATTTTAATCTGAAATATCTTCAGGAGAGCACGAAATGGTCCACAATATACTGTTTGATAAAGTCATTATCACTACCCAGCAAAATCATTCACATTAAAAATTGGAATAAACAGTGAATGCACTTTCAAAGTATGTTGCTATTAGCCTGTTTGTTAATAGATTGAAGATTTGATATATTGGGATACAGTCCAATATAATGGCTTGAACTACACTTATGTCTTGACTAGAAGTGCTAGTCTTGAATGAAAGCAAACATATAAAAAAATTAAAACACCAACATAAAGTAGATTCACTTGCTAATGTGCACAAATGTGCATGCAAACATATTCCCTCTCTCCCTCCTTCCTTTATCCCTCCCTCCCTTCCTTCCTTCCCAAAACTGGCTAGAATCCAAATCTATGAAAGAAAAAAAGTCTATTAATGAACTGAGATTATTCACAAAATGAAATGAAATTGACTATAATTAATTTGGATAGCACATTACTTACTCATTATATTCCTCAACAGTAGCACCTCTGATACTATGATAACTATTTATTTTGTAATAAGTCTTCTCATGATTAGGTTGAAGAAATATGAAACACAGATTACATCTATGTATTCTATGTGCATATGCATTTTGTCATAGGTTGTTATTAGTGGAGAAGATCTTGGAGAAAATGATTTTTATTTCTTTGATATTTTTCATCTGCTTTTTAGTGTTACAAAATTGATCACCAGTCGGGAAATAAATTAAAGTAGTTACAATAAATGAAATACATTTACAAATGTAATAAAAATGCCTTAAAAAATGAACTGCTTAAAAGTTGATCAGTTTAAGAGTTAGGACAGTGGAGTTCCGGTTTAACAAAAAGTCCAGTGGAGACATTACCTTAACATTCTCAGCACCAGTGAAGTGTTCTCTGAGCAAGAGGGAATTTCACAACCAGAATAATCTCTTATGGCTAGTACATTGCTGGCATATAAAGAAGCCTCAGGAATATATCCCCACTAGATTTTAGTTGCTAGGCAGGCACAAAAGGAAGTGCACACTATACAAACAATATAAGGCATTGTATGTCATTACAAACACTTCAGACTTAGCAAATTAGCAGCAACCCAGCCATGGCTATGGACCAGCTGCAACTTCTAGCTCAACCTCAAAGGTAGCAATAGCACTAGCACTTAGACTTATATACCACTTCACAGTGCCTTGTAGCCCTCTCTAAGCGGTTTACAAAGTCAGCATATTGCCCCCAATAATCTGGGTCCTCATTTTACTCACCTCGGAAAGATGGAAGGCTGAGTCAACCTTGAGTCTGGTGAGATTCGATCTGCCAAACTGCTGGCAGCCGGTGATCAGCAGAAGTAGCCTGCAGAACTGCAGTCTAACCACTGGGCTCAGGCATTGAACTGAAATTACCCAGTCAAGACCCAATTCTATGATCATGCTTTGTGAAACACAAGGAGCTAAATAAAACTAAATAAGTAGAAGTCTAATGGTGTCTATCAAGTTTGCATTGCTTCAGATTTAAATGGGAAGGGGGGGGGTGGCATGTGCATGGGGGTACTAATGGACCAGAGGACAATGCTTAAAGTTGCTGCACCTTTTCCTGGGATCCCAAGCTATCCGCTAGCCATACCCTTACTGGGATTCGAACCTGTGCTGTATTGCATCTTAGGCAAACGTCTTAGCCATTATGCCACAGGTCTCCTCCTTATCCATATATATGGATAAGGAGGAGACCTGTGGCATAATGGCTAAGACGTTTGCCTAAGATGCAATACAGCACAGGTTCGAATCCCAGTATATATATAATAAGGATAAGGAGGAGACCTGTGGCATAATATATATATATATGTTGACTTCTTGTTTACTTGCCAAATCAGCTACTTCTGTATAAACATTATCCTTGCTTGCTCTAAGGATGAGTAGAAAGTTTTCGGCAACGGAGGCAGCTGAGACTGGTTTTACGCAGTGGAATAAAGGAAACTCATGGTAGTTTTCATGTTTCCATTACTATGAAAATTGAAAGCAAGAGGCCATTCTTCCCTCCAAATCTTCATCTATCCTAAAATACAGCTGTGCTCTGAGTTTTGTTCATCTTATCCTTCTGTTGTAGAATTGATTGTTGCTACTATGTGATGTCGGCCAATTAGATCCATTTTTTCCTTTCTCGGTATAAGTGACATGCTACAATATTGTACCACCAAGAGCAAACTAATTCCCTTCTGAATCTGCAAATCTATTGCTGCCCTTGACTGCTGTGTTCATTCTTGTATTTTGTAGCTCTTCAATAATGTTGCAAGGATGTTTCTTCTCTGATGGTTTTAAGACATCTTCCACCAGAGAGTTCAGAAAGGAAATAGATTTCAGTGATTTTTTTTTTGTATACATGCCACCTCCTTAAGAATATACTGTTGATTTTTCAGTGAAAACCATAAGGGATTCACAAAATGGAATTCTTTAGTGAGCTTAATGGTGGATATTTTGAAGAACATTTCTACAAGCTTATAGCTGCTAGGAGATGGTATTTTGCATTGCCATCTGCTGTTGGAAACATGCACTGCATCTCATTTCCAAATACCAGTACTTCCAATATTATGTTGCCTACATCTCGATGTTTTTAATAACTTAATATTCCAGACCTTGCCAAATCACTCAGCAAATCATTTAGCAAAACAGAATGCTTGCAAAATGCTTGTAAAATCATTTAGCAAAACAGAAAATAATGAGGGGTCTATTGCACCTGATTCTTAAACTTAGATGTTACAATAAAATTGTGGAAAAGAAAAGGATGCTCTTCTTTCTTTCCCATTTCTTCTTTGAAATGTGATTTTAGTTCACTTATGAATAGTTAATAAATGAATATATATATGATTATACCCCCACTATCCCTATATACAGATACATGTATATCAGTAGTGGGATTCAAAAATTTTTACAACCAGTTTTGTGGGTGTGGTGTGGCTTGGTGGGCATGGCAGGGGAAGGATATTGTAAAATCTTCATTCCCACCCCACTCCAGGGGAAAGATACTGTAAAATCTCCATTTCCTCCCCACTCCAGGGGAAGATACTGCAAAATCCCCATTTCCTCCTGATCATCTGGGACTCAGGGGACACGAAAAGATGGGAGTGGGGCCAGTCAGAGGTGGTATTTACTGGTTCTTTGAACTACTCAAAATTTCCACTACTGGTTCTCCGGAACTGGTCAGAACCTGCTGAATACCACCTCTGGTGTATATATATAATCCCAGTATTGGTGTTGTTCAATGTTGCTGAATCAAATACATGAAATATAAATGATTTGCAAGGAGTATTTTCCCAAAAATAATAATTTCGATTGCAGTTGTGGAGAAGTTTTGATCTTTGTATGGACTGTGATGGATTCTAATTTCTATCACTACATAGAAAGCCAGAGCCTCATATCCCATTGTATAAAAATGGCATGTCTGGCCTATTCCACATGCTGGATAAAAGAGTCAGCTGAAAATTGAAGAATCAACCCCAACCTTCCTACTTTTGTTGACATACGGTACTTAGGAGATGAGTAAAATCATTTCTGCAGATAAAAAGTTCTTCAGGGAGCTATGTAATAAGTGTAGAAAATGTTTCAAAATGAGTGCATAATGTCACAATGTCATAAATATTTATTTTAAAGAATGCTACATATTTTTCTTGACAAATAAAAAAGTATTCCTAAAATGCAGTCTATTTGATTGCCTACATCATTGCTCAGTTATTTTACTATAACTATTATCATTACCATTACTATGATTTTAATCCTTTAGAACATCTTACAATCGTAAGTCCTAAGTTAAAATATAGGATTCTTTTTTTTTCTAAAAAGGAAATCCTATTAAGTTATTTTTCCTGCAAAATATTAATTGCAATATTAGTTAAAATAATTGCAATATGAAAAATATTCACAACTCTGAATTTTCCTAGTGATCTGGACTACAAGGACCTACCTGTTTCATGTCATGTGGGGATGGTTCCTATGTCAAATTGAATTAGTAGGATGTGTCTCTGGAAGGGAAAGCAATGATATTATGTTTTTTTTTAAATGCATGTTGGAAATGTTGTGCATATCCACTGTGTAGTATTGTGACAGCATGATTGCTGTGGTTTATAGAATCAATTTTATCTTCTTAAACATGCAAAAACAGCAAAATGCATCTGAATTGTGGTGATGGTGAAGAGTTTAAAGAAAAATATGCATTTACTATTTTTTGTCTTTCTAAACTCTGATCCTCAGAGACTGCATGGCAAATTTTCGTGGCAAGTTTTTTCCCCAGAAGTGGTTAGCAATTGCCTCCTTCCTGAGGCTCTGAAGGACTGTCTTGCCCAGTTGGCTTTGTGCCTAAGGCAAGGGTAGAAAACATAGACACCCAGTTTCTAGCCTGATGTCTTAACTCAGGGGTGTCAAACTTAGGTCGTCATGACAACATCACATGACATATCAGGACTTTCCCCCCCCCCTCTGCTAAAACAGGCGTGGGCCTGGCCAGTGCGTGATGCATCCAGCTGGGAGTTTCACAGCACCACCTTAACTGCTATACCAAGACACCATTCGAAACCCTAAGATTTAGGACTGACACTTCAGCTCTTCAATACTTCAGCTTCTCCCAAGGAATCAATATCTTTCACTCAACTCTCTCTAAATTGCTCCAAGGTCTGCAAAAAGGATACTGAATGCTATAACTGGTCCATGGGCTGCAAGCTGCCCACCCTTGGTCTAGATGTTACTATTTAGTTTTGGAAACTGGCAACACACAGTTGACAGTTTGAACTCTGAAACTTCTAAAGGTTTAAATTAGGTCCTTAGCAAGTCACTGGCCTTTTTAAGTATAAACAACATTCCAATTTTCACAAAATGCTTCTTGTTTATAATTTCTAGCCAGATATAGGACAGCTCTAGATTAGACGTACCTTTTTTAAGTTGGTAAACTGATCAAGTTATTGGAGAACCAATTAAATCAAAGGAGTGGGAACTTCTCTATGGGGAGGAAGTATAAGAAGCCAAGAAGTTGTAGAAAGCTTGAGAGGTGGACAGAAAAAACCACACCAATCTCTCTCTACACAGTAATATAATGACTACAAAAAACCCAATAAAATAAACTTCCAAATATCCTGAAAATGAGATAGTAAACCAGAAGGGGGAAAAATTACATGCGAGATTGTTGTAATGCAAATGTCAGCATTTCATTCCTAGTTACATAAGTAAGGATTTTGAATATTGTATAGGAATGAATACACTTTACAACCTTCCCCAGCATGTTTGTTTCTAGTGATGGTCAATAGTAGCAATGGTAGAACTTATCTGGAGGCTCCCAGGTTGTGCAGGATAAATATAATAACATTCATCATATGAACAGTAGCATTTGTGGAGTTGAAAAGAAAAGTGGAGTTAGTAGAAATAAAACATTTCCATTTGTCCTATTCTCTTCTTGTAAGCAATTAATTTATACTAATAAATAAGATTATTTTTTCATTATTTTGGAAGCAAAAAAAATAAGAGGAGTGAGTATTCACAAGAGATTTCTAAATGAGAGAACTTGACATTTTTACAGGCATATCATCGTGGAAATTAAAGACAAACAAACATCATCTCTCTCTTTCTTTGCTGTCAGATGAAAGGATTTTGTTATTATAGACATAATAATCTTTTAGGACAATGTGCATGCCCAGCTGAAAAGGCTTGATTTTATTGTACACAACTCAGAAATTGTGGTAGGCAAGGATTTGTAGGATTTTTATTTTTATATTTTATGATCAGCATATACAATGCCCTTAGATGGTGGTCAAATATCAAACATGCACAGCTACCAAATCCATACATATTTATGATATACTGTAACTACTAAAAGATAAGCACTAAGTTGACAACTTCATATTCTATTGGAATGAAAGAAAACTATGGAAATTAGGTCTCAAAAGTGCTTTTTTCAAAAGGCAACTGGACTGTTTTTTGAGGAAGAAGATATTCATCCAAGAGGTTGATGAAGCAAGATATCTTCTTCCTCAAAAAATAGTCCAGTTGCCTTTTGAAAAAAGCACCTTTGAGACAACTATGACCTGGATGACTGAGAATCTTCATAGACAATGGAAATTATGGTAGAAAAGGGCTTCGAATTCCTTCAGGTTAACAGTGATAAAGAATCAACCCTTTGTTTTCATTAAACATTCACAGCTACCAATTCTACACATACTTCGTTTATGTATGACAGTTATCATACACTATTGAAAGATACAATAGTCTCCCTCAAGTTACTTTGACTCCTGATGATTTCATAGACACGCATATATTTGGTCAATTAAAAATAAAGCATAATAGTGAAAGATAGATCTTTTTTAGAGATGAAAGTGGCCAAAAAATTCTTGCATTAACTCTTCTCCAATAGCAGTTTGAGGAAAGGTGAATCTGAGGCTTCTCTTAGCCACAGGATGGGGAACTGAGAAAGGAGGCACTGGATCAACATGTGAGACTCAGGTTTTAAAGCAATGTATTAGCTAAGTTTGAAAATTCTGACTTCTTTAGCAACAGAAGTGAGTTCCCCATAGGACACATAAGGCCACCTAAACCTTTTTTCAACCCTGAATCCTCCTCTGAGCGTACAATAAAATCCAATGCAAAATGTGAAAATTCAGCAACACAGTTTTTACAGCAAAATAAGCAGAAACACATCAAAAATTCAAAAAGAAGAAAATGTGAAGAAAAACAACACAGACAGTGCTGCCCTATATTTGAAAGCCTGTGGTTAGTTGTCTAAAATAAAAATCAGCCTTAATATTTGAGGGACATCACTTGATTACATGAGTAGGCAGGATTAGGTGTTGGGAGAGAAGCACATCCACGTGATGCTTCTTTTGGAGTTTCGACTAGAGTTTTCACAGCTTATCCAACTTGAAATGACAGGAAACATTGCCAGGAATCATCAGCCATGATTAAAAAGTTGAAGAGCTGCATGAAGCCCTGGAGCTACAATTTATCCAGATTGGACCCTTAATTTAAGAGAGTGCAGAAGTCTTCTCTAATCCATTCTTTTTCCTTTCCAGAACCGAAATCAAGCTGCAGATTAGGGAGATCTGCTTCTACATCAGGTGTTCCTCCTCCCTCTGTTCCTCCTCTCAGGCAAGCCAGTGAACTGCAACCGAGCCAGGTACCATCGTTAGCCAATCGTGAATGACTTCCTGTGATGCAACATGCCAAATGTTCTCCCTTCTGTGTTTGTCTACCATCTGTTATTGTAAATTGTTCTTCTGAGTGTTTTGGTTTGATTTCTGTTTTTATGATATGTGTGTGTGTGTGTCTCCCTTTCATAAGCAAAGAAATCTTATCGTTTCTAGCATCAAGCTTTCTTTGCAATGGTCTCTTCTTTAACATTTATTTGTCTCCATTCTGTAATATGAATATATATCCTTTTTTACTCTATATGTAGTTAGTTGAATATCTTGTTTCATTTTTTTTAAAGTAATTTTCTTTTCTGAAAAATTCTGCTTAAAAGCAGCATTTTATAAATTTGTGTTTTATATAATGTATATTTCTTTCAAGCATCTTGTCTATACCATTTTGTACTAGACAGTGACTTTGTATACACAGTTTGAACTTGAATCTCTTTGTATTCTGTCATTTTGAGATAAGTGCATGAATAATTTTTTTAAAAAATTGTGTGTGTGTTGTGTGTATATATACACACACACACACCATGATTGTGCGTGTATGCATATATACATACTGTATATGCACACATAAATCCATGCACATACATACTCAAAAACACACAACTTAATAAAAGGCTTGTTTTCTATTTATGAGAAGTAATTTTGTTCCTTCGAAACTCCTAAATCACATATAATAGTATTGGGACTGATCCATAATATTCTGTTTTTATAAAATAGCAAAGATTTTACAATAAGCTGTCTAGATATTAATGGAATTTTCATGGACTATGAATAACAGGGAGATTGATGTGTTCTTTGAACATGTTTTTGTATTTTCCTTCAATAGTGGGGTTCCAATGGAAGAATACATGTTATTTAATATTTGGATACTGGGCATGTTTTGCTGTGTGCCAGTATGCAAATTCGTATGGTCTTCAAACTGTTTGAAAAAAATTATACGTTAAAGGAAATGTAATTCTTTGAATAAGAGCTGTTAGGGAAAAAAGGAAAAAAAATCCTGCAGCTTATCTAAGCAATCTTTACATGCTGAGAAAGAAAAGTTGTCTCATTCAATTTTTATCAAGAAGCATTTAGGTTTTTTTTTCCTCAATACAATTATTCATTAATGTGACTTGTAGACCATATCTAATTGTTCAGCTGCTTTTTCTAGGTGGTTTATGAATCTTTCTATATATTAGTCCACATTTCAACTCTACAGTTATATTGCCCTCTAGTGTAATTTACTCCCAATAAATATATTCATGTGTTGTAGATAAATAGTGCATTTGAGACTCTCTGCTCATAACAGAAAGCAGTTACTCTCTCCCCAAATGTGTCTCAAGTTTCAGTCTGTTTGCCACCAGCTCATATAAGTACAATACTGCCCTAGGTTTTGAAAATTTGAATGAAGTACACCTCAACTTATGACCATTTGTTTAATGATCTCTTGTAGTTACAATGGCATTGAAAAAAGTGACTGATGATTTCACCCAGTTATCACAGCATTGCTGCAAACACATGATAAAAATTCATGTGCTTGTCAACTGGCATGTATTTACATTAGTTGCAGTGCACAATAAAATCACAATTTGTGACCTTCCCAGGAAGCTTCCAATAAGCAAAGTCTAATAGGAGAAGCCAGCTTTACCCAACAACCACATGCTTCACTTAATGATCACAGCAAAAAGATTGTAGAAACAAAATGTGACTCACTTTAAAACCTCATTTTTTAGTGATGGAAGTTCCAGTTCCAGTTGTGGTCATATGTTGAGGACTACCTAGAGGTAGCAGAAGAAAGTGACAGAATGGTCTGGTTGGGATGTTTTGCAGTCCTCAAAACTTTTGAAAACTCTTCATTAAACCCTTCAAACTAACACAGCAGGAAAAGAAGTAGGCGAACATCTCTTTATCCCAATTAGCTCTTCTGCTATTTGAAGTGAAGTTTTGTTTTATGCTTTAGATGTGATAGTCTTATCTTACAAACTTGTACCTTGTGCAGAATATCCCTCAAATTATCCCTTTAAGAGATAGAAAAAGGGAATTTAAACTATCTGGGGAGAAAGAATAGACCGGACCAGGATCTATTTAGCAGACTGCCAAAGTGATATTGTACTAAACCTGATATGTAATAACTACTGTAAAACATTCTTCCTGCCATGATGGTATGTCACCCATATCCATTCCTTATTTTGAAATGAACAGTCATGCCATAAAATTACAGCAGTAAGCATATCCCTTTAGTGTTTTGCTATATATTTTATTGGATATGTAGCCAATTGATGTAGATAGATAGAATAGATACTTAATAAAATATATATCCAGTGTAAAAATGGCTATTTGCAATATGCTGAAATTCTGCATCTGCAGAAGTTGCAGAGAAGCATCAAACCATGTATACAACATGAAGGAAAAAAAGAAGACATACTTAGCTTTATTGATATGAGATCATATCAATGACATTTTTATGTAAGTGAAAGAGTTAACTTATGAAATAGCATATTCAATAATGTAATAGCATGTTATAGGAGCAAAAACTGGTGGAACAGGGCCTTATTTCACAAGTGTTATTAATGTCTTTCCTTAAATCCAAAGTATGAAGGCAATATATAATCCCTCTTTTGATTTACATTTGTTTTGAAAATCTATGATGAGACTTAAAATGGTAGATACTTTCCTATTTTAACTAATTTATAGAGGCAATGGATGAAAGGAATTCAAAGGAGATCCAGCATTACAGTTGCTATGTTTTATGTGGTTGGCCTATAACATCCATTAAGAATAGTAAAAATAGATTAATTTAAAACAGCCAGTTTATATGTCTGAATGTCATAGCCGTAAATGAACCATCATGTGAAATTTTTAATGATAACTCAGATGCACTATTTCTAGATGGGATTAAAAAAAAACCTTACAAATTGATACATTCACCCAGTATTAAGGATTCAGGGATACCGATTCACATATAAACCAGCTTTCCTCCTTTACTAACTGGACTTCACATTTGTAGATTATTAAGCTTGAAGTTAAAAAGTGCTTGAGCTCCCTTCTGTTTTAGCTTTCTTTTATTATATATATAAATAATTTCCAGCATTTTTGTTTATACCAGCTTTGTAATTATCAATAATTTCATATGTCAAATCTAGATGCTGATGTGGATTTATTATATGGGTACTGATGCATCATTATCATCACCATCATCATCATCTCCCAAATTCTTAGAGAATCCCAGTGACTTATAACAGCAACCAAACAAAAACTTAACATCCATCCTAAAATATACATATTACAAAAATAGAAATAGATAAGTGACAATTATGCTGCGCCAAACACAAATGGTAGAATAGTCTATGTCTCAAGATACTCTCAGACGCTTTTACCAATTTCTATAAGATCATCACCAAGTGGGCCACTCTGGCATCCGGGGGAGAATGACAGAGCTATGTAGAAGAAATTTTCTGGCCTTATCACCCACTAACCTTACTAGCAGCCTCTCCCTGAGGGATGTACTCAAACAGGTTGATTTAAGGCAATCTTATATCATCGGTCTGCCTGATATGTACCAAGAGATACAGAACCATTATAAGTTGAAACTAACATCCAGGTAATAAGCTTAAATTGTATCCAAAAACGTATAGTATTGGCCCACCAAATAGTAAATGGTAAAATTATCCCTGCCATGAATTCCAGTCAAAATGTTGACTACTGTATTAAAAACCAACTGTAACTTCTGTTCAAAGGCTGTCACATGTTAGTGCATTGTGCAAACCCAACAATATGGCTATGAGGCCGTGAGTCATTGTAACCAGATCCTCTCACTTCAAGAAGTTTGCCACCTCAGAACTGAACAAAGATTTTTTTTCTGCAAAGATATTTCAATATGTTAGGAAAGGTCTCCCTAGAACCTGATTAATACTAGATTTAACCCCCTAACTGAAAAAGTTCTATGCTATTTTTTGAAACACTTCAGAATTATAATGAACAAAAAGGATCATTGATTGGTTTCCAAAAGTGTCAGAATGCATTGTTGGGGGCAATATGCTGAGTCTGTAAACTTCTTAGAAAAGGCTGTAAACTGCTGTGAAGAGGTATATAAGTCTACGTTCTAGAGCTATTGGTAAATATATGTAATTTTTTTTTTGAGTTTCCAATAGTTGTTGTGGGCCAATGGCTCCATCTTATGGCAAATATCGAATGTGCAGGATTTTATTTTTATAAATTAGTTTTCTTCAACTTGGTTTTTCCAGGTATTTTGTAGTAGAAATCCCATTATTCCTGTCACTATGACATAAATCACACATATAAAATTATGATAAGAAATGTTGCTGTCCTGTCATTTAATACTTTAAAACTTTATCTTGATCATGACAGAAATTTTCTTATTGTATTATAAGTCCGTTGGCTTTTCCTTATTTTTCTTGTTGTTAGTTATAACTATTAAATAATTAGTTAAATAAATAATAATATTAATTAGTAACAGCCACCTTATTTTGATATATTATCAATCAACTTGTAATTATTGTATTTTCAGAACATATCAACATTTCAGTCTTGCCTAAAAATGAGGAAAAATCAAATCCTAATTTATTAATGTTGATATTTTCAAGCATATTTATTTCTTGGCATGGGATCTTTTCTGCATTTATTTTGGAAGAACTTCATATACTATTCAAATGGGGTATCAAATAAGGATAAATTTATTGCAAAGTGCTGTAGTTCTTATTTTGGAATTAATGCAAAAATGGACATAGTTATTCTTTGGTTCCCCCTTAATTTTATGGTGCAATTTCTGGATCAAAATCTATATATTTTGTAATATATTCATAGCAACCTACAAGCAGCAAATGAAAAAAAGGATAGCATAAAGACATGTTTGTTAAGAAAAATGGATAGGAAAATGTGTATATTGAGAGAAATGTATTACAGAAATGAATATGATTCATAAAACTGACTCTAAATTTTCAAGCAGCTGTTTACAATACTATCGCTACTAACAAGAGCA